GGAGGTGCGCCCCTCGCCTCCTGTGCCAGAACCGACCCGCGGCTGATCCCAGGGCGGCGGCGCGGCTCAGCCTCTGCGCCCCTCAGCCTCGGGCTGGAGAGACCCTGGGCAGAGCCGCTCCGCGCGCAGAACCATCCCGACTCCGCCCGGCTCGCGCTATGGGTCCGCGTGGGGCGCCGACGGTCCCTCCCTCACTAGTAGGAATCGTGTGAGCGAGGGCAGAAATCGAGACGAAAACTCAAAACGGGTGGGTCAGACTCCAATTTCCTCCACTACTGCCTCAATTAAAAGAAAAAAAGAAAAGAAAAACCAAACGCCGACCCGCTGCCCAGCGCGCCCCCAGCCCGCCGAGGTGCAGCCTCGCCCTGGCGGCTCTCCCAGGGCTCTCGGGCGGGCGCACACTTCGCCACCTTCAATGAAACTTTCGAAGCCCTCACTCGGGGACGGGCGTGTCCCACGACCAATGGGACCGCAGCTCCGACACTGCGCGCGCGGAGCCCGCCCCTGTGCTGCTAGAGAAGCAGGCTCAACGCATAGGCGAAAAGGGCGAGCCCCGAATCCAGGCGCCCGCGCAGGCAGGGCGAGGGCGAAGCCAGGCCTTGCCTGCCAGGTGAGCTTCGCTCATCTGCTTGCCCTTGCTCAGTCAGAGCCGCAGTCCTGAGTGTCCTGTCACTCTGTTGGTGCATCCTGGCATCTTGTTCACCTGGTGGGGCCCTGAATCTAACCAAACCTCAGGAATCCTTTTAAGACCCAAGTGGGAAAAAAATGTACAGGCCACACATGAGAGTAGCCAGGGATCTGAACAACTTTGTGGGACTGTCACTTCCATTGGGTCCACACGTGTCCACTGTCATTGAGATTAGGGCGGAATTTATCCAGACTACTGACCTTGTTCATATCTAACCTCACACAGGAAGTTTCATCCCTGAATGGGCTCTGGAAAATCCCTGATCTTTTCTAGAGTGGGTGCAGAAATTCAGATCTGAATCCACTTTGTACATTTTGAGAAATGCTTCTTTTCACCTAAGATATGTTCTTGCCTACAGTGGCTCTGGGAAAAGAGAGTATGTTGGTATTGAGAATATTCTCCTTTTAGCGTAATAACCTCATTTTTTGCTTTTTTCCTGGACAAGATCTAGAGAATTTGGATTCTAACTGGGAGACTCCGCTGTGCCTGGGTTATACACATTTCACAATTATCCCATGGAGATGGAGAACTCAGAACCAGGAAGCAGGAGATCATAAGATCTGTAGAGGGAACCATTCAGAACTGGTATTTCCATCAAGAAGATCCAGCGGGAAGGACTGAACTTCTATTCTGCACCATTCTGGGGTTTTACTGGTTGGAGAGAATGGAGCAGTCAGCTGATGAAAACTATGCAAATGTGACTCTGTGTTAATAGGGTCTCTCTAACCATTTGAATGGCTTTTGTGGACATCCCTTTTTCAGATACAATAAATTCGTAGTTTCAGCTCAGATACCTTCACCAGTTCTCTGAGAATTACAGAGAAATGGTCTCATCACTTTTTGGATTTTTTTTTTAGAGGTTTTTGCTATAAGGCGTGTGTGCTCACCAGAAAGACGGAGAGATGGAAAGCAAGAAATCACCCCCCAGGGAGGATGGCCACGCCGCAATCCCTTCTCCTCCATTCTCCTCTCGGAATCTTGGGCATGCACACACATGTGCCCAGCGTGAGTTTAAGCCACCGGGTCCGGGACTCGAATCACAGTCGACTACATGGGAGCCCAGCAATGTAGCTGTTACGCTAACTGCTGGTCCCCACACCTATATTTATTTTAAGCTCTCAGGTGAGTCTCAGGTATGCAGGCAGGGTGGAGAACCACTATCCTAATTCACATATTAGAACTCAGTAAATGTTTCACTGGTTTTCAAAACCAGCAGTGCTAGACCAAATCCACCTTCTGAAGCTGTATTTTCACACTGGGGGTGACTTGAGCATATGGATCAATGCCAGTGGCATTGTTTTTACAACAGCTCGGAAAAGCAGTAATCTGTTGTCTATGCTGCCTTGTTTTTAAGGGCACATGAGCCCATCAGGATATTGATCACAGTGTTCAGGAATCTTGCTTGCGGGAACTATATCCTCAGATGTTGCCTGAAATCTAAAAGAGTGAATGAGTTAGAAAATGCTGTATGAAAATCCACTATACGAATGCCCATAAGCATATTATTTTGATATTTGGTGAGTCCCCAGAATATATGATGAGTTTAGCACAGGTACTGAATTAAGCACCACTCTCTCCCACTTTTCTGCATCTGTAGTGACAGATGCTGGCTTCTTTACATCAGCAGTGAGTCTGCTAGTGCCATGATTTCTTCATCTGTAAGTTGAGGAAACTAATCAAACCTATGTAATACAGAGTGCTACACAGATCATGTCTGGTGCATAGTAATCTTTCAATGACTATTGGCGGCTGCTTGCATAACTATTGTCATTATTGTTACTGTTATTGGAAAACAAGAACTGGTTCTACATTTATGAAACCATTATTCTGAACTATGGTCACCTGTTCTGATACTCAGAAAGATACACTGGCTGCTGGGATATGTTTAGAATCTGGCCCAGTGTAGTAGTGGTAGGCATTTTCCTAAGAGTTTGTTTGACTATCAAAAATTTGTCATTTATGCCTTGTGTTTCATTTCACCTGCTTAGATTTTTATCTTTTCTGAACTTGATTCAGTGCTTTGCTGATTGAAAAAAATCATTCAGAAATAAATTTTTTCCAAATGCTGATTTTCTCTATCATGCTCAATATACAAAGATAAAGTTAATAACCTTTTTCAGTCTCATATCATGTTTAACCCTATGCCAATTATCCTTCCAGACACTGAGTTAGTTTCTTTTGAAAGATTTCAGGGATGGATATTATCCCAAATGGTAACTTTACAAAACAATGTCTCCCGTGGGGAATATAAAGGTTGTCAACCTGGCATTTTCTTCTTCCAGTGAAATCTGCCAAAATCCATCGGCGCCATCCAGCCTGTGGAGAATGTGGTACCTCGCGCCAACTTAAAGAGAACGTCTTTTAGCTTTGGTAACATGTGTTTTCCTTATGTATATGCTAATAAAATATTTTTAAATATATGCATTTCAATGTTTTCATTTACAATTATCATTGTGTCATAAGCCACAGTATTTATTTAAAAGTCATTTCTGTTAAGGGCACTTTTTTTTTTTTTTGGTGCTTATTACTTTAAAAATCTTAGAAGGTAAATTGAAGACTTTCTTCTTGCTAATATATTCTGCGGTTACAACATTTTTAAAAGCTGTCCATTTGATGTTTACGACAGAGGTATTTTCAAGGTCCCCAAATTCCAAAGACCTAGACAATTTCTAATAATTTATGGAAGACACATATAGTCTTGTTATACGGCTGCTAAAGAGGTTATCCCCCATACAGTCTTTACCAGACCAATCTATGGTGAAATTCACTCTATGCCATCTGGCCCTTATATGTAATCT